AAAAAACTTAAGGGTGTGTACAGATGCCTCACACTAGAGAGGACAACCAGACTTACGGAACTAACATAGAAAGTTGGCCACTCTGGTGTCTATGTTACACACATTGCTTTCTGCAGTTCTTAACTGCTTACTTGTGATTGCGATAATCATCAAAGGAGCAACATGTTCAATGAGTAGACTCACTTTATTTTTATTTATTATTATTTTACATTGTTGCAAAGTGTCCTCCAATCACCAGCTACTGAGCAAGCTGGGAATAGAATGGGTACTTCTTGCCCAGAGTAGACTCATTTTAGGTGGGACTCATTTAACCCAAACTACTTATAAGATGCTACCAATATTCCCTCAGGGCACCTGCACATTCTGCGGTTACAAGGTAGAGGTTTTCAAAAAGCCAACTCTTCAGAATGATTAAGCCACCTTCACAAATTAATATTAAAAAATATTAATCCCCTCTGTTTCTTTTTTTTAAATATATATATTTTAGAGAGAGAGAGAGAGAGACAAAGTGTGAGTGGGGAAGGGGCAGAGAGAGAGGGCAACACAGAAGCCAAAGCAGGCTCCAGGCCCTGATCTGTCAGCACAGAGCCCAATGTGGGGCTTGAACCCATGAGCCATACGATCATGACCTGAGTCGAAGTCGGGCACTCAACTGACTGAGCCACCCAGGCGCCCCTAATCCTGTCTGTTTCTAGTTCAACCTTCCCCATAGAAGGGACCTACCATTCTTACCTATCCAACTGACATCAATGACTACTCATTTTTGCTAATAGCTACTTACAAAGGTGCATTAAAGTAACTTTGCTCCAAATATTAAAACAATTAGTTCCAGAATATTCTTTACCTTTCCTTCAATAATCCGATAAACTAAAGAATTCATGTCTTTTGCATTGAAAGCATGCTTCAGGGTGGCCATTTCATAAACACAGCATCCCAGAGCCCAAACATCAGACTAGAAAAGAAAAACAGTAAACAGTTAAATGTCGAATGCCTTACTTATATTTTACCTCTTAAAAAAACAAAAACAAAACCAGACATTTTCCTTGAGCCAATTCACAGATAATTCTTCTATCTGATGGGTTCTGAAGTTACGAATACTGTCCTAGAGACAAGGTGAACTGGCATATGCAGCCCAATCCTACCTTATAGTTGTAGGGTTTGTTCGAAAACAGTTCAGGGCTCATGTAATAAGGTGTGCCGATAAGAGTGCTGGCCATGTCACAGTGGTTCTCTAACACCCGGGCAATTCCCAAATCACCCACTTTGATGATGTTTGTTCTTGTCAGGAAGACATTTTGAGTTTTCAGATCTCGGTGAAGGATGTGTTTTTCATGTAAATACTGAGGACAGAAATAAAACTTCATTAAATATTAATATACTGACCTACTTACTTATTCCTGTCTTCTTACATACCAGCAACAATTGCATGAGTTAAATAATCTCAGTTATCTACATAACAAAACACTATTGTTTTACAAAATCTCTAAACAAAAAGTCTGATTCACAACTTTCCAAAGCAAGGAATTAAGTTCCATGCATAGTGTGCCCAATAATCTTCAAAATTGTTCCCGGTGCCTTGACAATGTTACCATTTAGCATTAAATGGTTCCAGTTAATATACACTTACAAATTCCCACTGAAGGTAGAAAGACAACTTGTACAGAGTCAGATACACATTCCCTCACACTCATGAAATCTTCAGCTTAATAACATTTTCAAATATAACAAGATAACTCTTATTTAGAGAGAGTACCTTAGAATTTAAACAAGGTCAATCATTTCTGGACAAGTCTGCTCAGCTCCAGAGCTCAGCTCACTTTTGACTATGCGTATATTCAAACACGAACATATCTTGCATTTCTACTCACTCTGCCACAGCAGGGTTAAAGCCCAAATCCCCACAGTTTCGGCATATAAATTAACCCAACCACCTTGCGGTATGACATAGCTGACCAGCTGGTAACAGAAACGGTCATTCTTTGCTCTTTGTCGACTCGGGGCCCTTAAAATTGATTTTGCTATAAATATTAAGTGAATAGAGAACTGGCATCCCCCGCAAACCGAAATCCATGTCTACCTCAACATAGACATCATTTATTCAGAAACACTCGAATGCTATGGCGAGAGGGACTGGGTCCACCTCATAAATGGATTTTTTTTTTAAATACATTTTTTTTTTTTTCATGAAGCATTTTCCTAAAATCCACCTGCCCTCCGCCTGTCACCTTGGAGCAAATGGAATGCTGGGAGTCTGGACAGTACCTGCAGAGCCATGGCGATCTGAACAAACCACTCCACCACCTGACTCTCAGGCAGAAGCCGCCCCTTCTGTTCTTTGAGCTTTCGGTACAGATCACCTCCTTCGCAGAAGCCCATGACGATGTACAGCAGACCGTCCCCTCCCTCCCATGACTCCTTGTAGGTGACGATGTTAGGGTGCTTCAACTGAGACAGGAGCTGAGCTTCCTGCTCAGCAGCGCGCCGCTCTCGGCTAGAGGCGTTTCGGAGGTTCAGCTTTTTGATGACATACTACAGAGAAAACATATGATTTTACAGTGTGCATATAAGCATACAGTTTTATAGGTTTAAGAGTATTTAAGGGTTCTCCTGAATGTCCTCAAAACGAACCTCCCGGAGCCTATCAGATAACCTATTCATTTTATTATTCACAAAGCGCAAAATTGGGAAAAAGATTTGCTATCACTTACTAATACTTTCAACAGGTTGGACTTATAGCAGACTGGAGGGTCACAAAAAATTTACACTTCCCATCTGCATTTTATAATTTCATTAATGGATAAAAGAGGAATCCATGTGAACATACAACTGGATCAATCGTAAAATCCGTGATAGAGATTCCTTAACCTCTAAGTTTCCCCTACAAAAGTATATAATATATGGCTTGAAAATACAGCTGCAGACAGAATGGGTCCACAGATTGCATTAGATAATCAAAGGGATCCATGGCCTAATAAGGTTAAAAATCACTGATTCTCAACATTAAAAATTATTCCCATCAAAAAAAAAATCAGGATCCTCTGACACCTAATACATTGCCCTTGACCAATTCATTATTCAACAAACACATATATAAATGTGCTTTGTAAAACATAAACTGCTGCTCACATGTGAGGGGCTGTTATTACAACCAATACCCCATTCTCCACTCAAAAAAAAATCCAATGACCTCCCCCACCTCCCCGATTTCTGAACAAATCTCTTATGCCTGAACTTGTGTTCCAGGCAGAGCTACCAGCACCTGACACCAGGCAGAATAGTCTAGAGGGCCTTATACTTGAAGGGACATCTCCTTTCAGCTTGCCTGGGGCACTGTCCCTATCCTGGTGTCATTATTAATAGCACCTCCCTTTAGTTTCAGAACTGTCCCAGTTTGTATGATACATTATATGGTCACCCTACTTATAAACCACTTTAAAGAACTGGCTCATTATCCTGAGGGTCAGGGGATAAAGTGCTTTAAAGAAAGGAGTGGCAACATTAGTGTTAAGTTTTAGAAGGATCACGGAGATGGCAATGAAAATGATGGGTTCAAGAGTAAGCCATGTGGCAGGGAGGACCAGTGGAGGCCATGGCCACAACTCAGCTAAAGATAATGATGTCCTGGAATGGGGGAGGTGGGGGGTACCACTGGATAGAGAACAGGCCTGCTGGCTTAGTGGGCAGGTGAATGGTGGCGGTGGTGTGTGTCAAGAATGACTTCCGGGTATGGCCAGCTTGGGCAACTGGATGGCAAGTGGTACTACTCACTAAAATGGGGACCGTGAAAGGTTTGGCGGGAAGGTGATGAACTGAGTTTTAAGCGAGTCCAGTAGTCTCCAGGTCAGATGTATGGGGCCCTTCGTCCAAAGAGTAATCCTTGCCAGGCGCTGTATGAGATTCTAGGAATGAATGATCTCACGGAATTGTCAGAGTGGAGAGGGTGTGTAGATCAAGCACAACAATTAACACTATAAAGAACTACAAGCAGTTTGGGGCGCATATGACAGTACGGCCTGGCCTACTCTTGGTGGTATGGGGAGGTTTCGCTGAAGAAGGGACATCAGAAGTGAGTCTCCTTTAGACCTCTCCGCGCCTAGCCTTTGAACAGCGGCCTCGGCATACCGCTGCCTGCCCTCCACCCCTGCCGGGCCCCAACCCCGCCGACCTGCCTGCCGTCCCGCCGGTGCCTCACGAGCGTCACCTCCCCGTAGCTGCCCCTGCCCACGACCCGCAGGTAGCAGTAGGCGGCCAGGGGCATGTTCCCGGCGCCGGCCCAAAGCTGGGATGCGGCGGCAGCGGCGGCCAGGGTAGCGGGCCGCGGCGGGAGACCCCGCTCATGCCCGAGAAGCCGCGGTACTGGAGGCTGCGGAGACGGCCGGGCCCCGATGCGAGTACGGAAGCCGGGCCCACAGCGACGCCGCTGCCATAGCGATCCCAGCCAACGCAGCACCGCGCACGCTCCGGCGGCCCGGAAACATCCACCACAGAGCCGAAGCGCCAGGCAGCCAGAGCGGTTCCGCTATCCGGGAGGACCGCCATAGAGCCCAGGCTCAGGACGGCCAGAGCGACTCCTCTGGTCCTTGCGCGCGGACCTTGTGCTTCGGTTCCACCGCCGGGAACTTCCGGGTGCGAGCAACAATAAAAGCGGGGAAGTTTCCACCTACGTGATCTAAGTGCTTTGAAAGTATTGGTCCTTCTTTCTACGAATAATTTATCGACCGCCTACCGTGTGCCAGGCCGACAAAGTCCCTGTCCTCCTGAGATTCCCATTCTAATCGAGGATGACAGACTAGATTCTACAACTAACACTTGTTACGTTTGCTTTATCACACAATGGTTCAGGTATGCATCTAGCAATACATCTTATTTTTGTGCATTTCAAAAGAAATTGAGGAGACCAGTACATTTCCCCCTAAACACTTAAGCTTGTGCATTAAGAAATGCAAAGAACTCTCATAACCATCCAAGCCACTGCACTGTGATTTGGCCAAATTCTGGCATGGTTTTTAACAGCTTGAGGTAGTGTCTGTAGGAGGACCCTCCTTAAAAGGCCCGTGTGTGAAAGTTCAAAGCTGCCAAAAGAATTTGTCGTTTGACACAGCGGACACCTCCCTTCCCTTTCCTAGAGCATTTACCTAAAAGAGTTTACAATTGTGAATCTTTCCTATGTCCCTGTTAGATAGATACATGGGTATCTCCTGCAACCAAGAGCACCTTTCTCAAGGACCTATACTCCACCCCTTTGAAGTGTAAGGTTTGCCTACATCCAAGAACCAGTTTTTGCCCAGTTGGAGGCAATATCGCCCCTGTTGAGAATGGGTAATGTTAACAGAAATTCAACCCAGCAAATTTGAAGATCGAATTGACTCTATTAAGCAATTCGTGAATCAGGCAGCATCCTATATGGCAAGTAGAGAGATGCTCTAAGGAGTTGTTCAAAAGGGAAGGTTTTTACTCGAACTAAGGCAGGGCAAGGAAGTTATCTGAAAGAAAGGATTGTTTCAGGTCAGGACATAATTTTTTGTGAGGAAGGGAGTGGTGGGGTTTTTAATTATACAGATTATCTCACTTAGTGCTGATCAGGAAATTTCAGATTGACTGATAGAAGGTCACATTCTTGGGTTTGGTTGAAACTGTAATTAATTCTTGGTTTGCTCTTGGGGGCAGTGGAGGGGGCAAATGACTCCATCTGGGGCTTGTTGTCTCTTTTTTAATAATACTATTACCCCCAGAAAGTTAATTTATTATTTTCCCCAGTTAATCCCCACTTCCCCATTAGAGCCAAGTACATTAGCTCCTTTAATCCTTATATCAACACTATGAGGCTGATACTTTTATCATCTTCATTTTACAGTTAAGGAAATTGAATCTCTGGGAAGTTAAGAAACTCATGCTAATGGAGAGAATAAAATGGAGTCAGCATTGCTAAGAGGATTATTTAAAATTGGGGCACCTGGCTGGCTCAGTTGGAAGAGCATGCAGCTGTTGATCTTGGGGTCATAGGTTGGTGCCCCACACTGGGTGTAGATATTACTTAAATAAATTTTTAAAAATAACTTAAACATTTTTTAAATAAATAAATAAATAAATAAATAAATAAATAAATAAAGGAACCAGGAGGAAATAAAAAAGGAACCAGGAATAAAAAAAATGGAACCAGGAGGATGTTGAGGATGTGGAGCCTATACATGTCTTCTGTCTCAAATTCTTGGAATTTTTGCTGAATTCAGCTAAAAGCCAAGGCAGCTGCTACATGTGAAAATGGACATAAATGGACTTTCTGCCTAACACTAGCCCTAGCAAGCAATCACATATATGTTACTGTAACTATAGCTATACGCGCACAAGTTACATTTTGTTAAAAACAACTATGTATGTAAATCCTCTCTTCCTTCTTTAAAAACTCTTAATTCCTTTGTCTCTCCAGAGCATGCTTTCAATTTTAATCGAATCTCTGTCTCCTGGATTGCAATCCGTAAAACCCCAAATAAACACACATATTTTATTTTGTAGCTTGCAACTTTCTCTTTCATTGGTCTATACTCAAAACAACAGGCTGATGGCTTGCTCGCTCCTAAAACGCCTGTAGTTACTTGGTCACACCTGCCCTTGAGAAAGCTTCCTGGAAAATGACTCAGATTCCCTAGATGCCTTTCTTAGTCTTCTTCCATCCATCTTCCCCTTTGCCCCTCTGGTGAATCCTCTCCTTTCTTGGTTTCTAGAACTTTCCTGGTTCTCCTGTCTACTCTTGTTCTCTTTTGACTTCTCATGATCCCCTCAGGTTTGAGGCTCCCCCAGGGTTCTCTACTCTTCTCTCTGCCTTTTACCTTCTCCAACTTGCTCTTCATCAAATCTATCATTCACTCTACAGACATTTAGTATGAGCCTTCATGGTGCAAGACTAGTGCCCTGCCCTGGAGGCACGAAGGGAACAAGACAGACAAAGCCCTGCCCCTGTGGGACTTAGGGTTGAAGAGAGAGATACTTGCCAACTGAGGTCAGTGCCATACTGAAAGGTCACCAGGCCCAGGCTGCCCATCCAGGGGAGGTTGTCCCAAGCAATCATTGCTTGAACTGAAGTTTGAAGGAAAACAATTTTCAGGCAAAGGGAGCGCCATATGCTAAGGTCCAGTGGACTTATTTTGTGACTTCACCTCCTTGCTGCAGTGGGAACTCTCTGAGCATTGGGCCAGCCCTGCCTGCTTCGAGACTCCAAACCCAGCAGTTGACGTGGGGACGGCACACAGTAGATATGAGTGGATGAAATGGGGGCTGATGAATGAACAAGTGAAAAAGCACCCGCCTACACAGTCTGGGAAAAAGTCTCTATGATTGAAGCTAAAAGACCCTGGGGGCCCATGGCTGGGTGAGATGGAGGGGTCAGCAGGGGCCAGACCACTCAGGACACAGAAGTGTATACGATGAGGACAGGTCTCAAGCAGATCCACATTTTTAAATGATGACTCTACTTGCTGCCAGAGAGTAGACTGTAGGAGTAGAGTGGAAATGGGGGGGGGGGGGGGGGGGGGGAGCAGCCATGTAGGTGAGAGATGAGGGTGGCTTGGACTCGGTGGTGACTGGGGACTTAGAGAGAAGTAAATGGATTAGAAAGATAGAGAGTCTGAGGTGAGGGATGAGGGGTGGGGAGTCTAGGGAAGGAAGCCAGCCAGAATACCACCCAGCTCTCTAGCTTGGATGCCTGGATGGATGGCAGTGGCCTTCACTGGGGTGGACAACAAGAGAGGAAGACCAGGCTTGGTGGTGGAATACAGGAGGGGGAAAGAAAGTCATGAGTTCAGTTGGGATATATCAGGTGGAGGGGCTCTGAGCAAATCAGGCAGGCAGTTGGCTGTGTGGGTGGAGCTCAGAGCAGGTCTGAGGTGTCCTGTGTCCTATGTGTCATCCCTTTGCACCAGCAGCACAAACCCCCTCTCAAGCCCCCAGGCTCAATCCTCAGCAACCTCACCTGCTTTCCGTCCACCCATCTCCCACCTTCCACACCCACAGGGTGAGTCAACCTATCCTCTTCTTCTGTAACATGGGGAGAATCACAGCATCCATCATCCTCGGTACATGAGATAGGACACAAATGCTGAGAAGCGGGCCAGGTGCTAGTCGCTGTTCTCCTTCCCTTCCGGCCACATAAATGTATTTCTCAAACCTTCTAGGGAAGAAGCTTGGTGCTGGTCATCTCCCAACAGTCCAGTCTTGATCTCACCACACCCCTGTGTAGAATATCTGTGGGGTTTTCCAAAAAGACTGGCCACTTCCAGGCCAGGCTGGTCCCAAACCACTTCTCAGCCTCCTTCCCTGCCCTCTTCATCAGGTCCTGCTTCCATCGGGTAGACAACTGCACCTCTCCCAAGCACGCGTCACACCTACCCATCTACTTTCCCTCCCTCTCCTTTCTCCTTCCCCTGCCCAAGGGCTGTCCTGCTTCCCAGGCACCTCCTCTAGGAGCCTTCCCCGAAGCCTATGGGAGTGAGCTGCACCACTTCCAGATCACTCCAGCCCCTTCGTGCTCCTCTTAGGTTCTGACACTCGCTGGGCTTCCTTTGAGTCATCAGGCTCCTTTTCCCAACATATCCGCTCACTGAACACCTCGAGGCACTTGAGTTCATCACTGTGGCGTGCTGGTGCCTGGCACCGTGCCCAACCCACCGTGGGGCTCGTTTGATACAGGTGCAGGAAGTCAACACAGCCTCCAATGCAGTTTCATGTTGATCCACCTCATCTCCCACAAAGGCCAGAAAACAGTCCAGAAGGTCATTCTGGCCTGGGGATGATAAGCCTTTTCCCAGAATCTGCTCTGTGTGACAAAGTCCGAGACAAGCAAACAGAGATCAAAGTGGCCTCTGGGCCCCCTCACCTTATCAGGGTCATAGCAGCCAGCACATCCCACCCAGGGCCATGGAGTGGATTGACCAGGGCCACATGTACCTTGCGTGCTGTGGCTTGTGGGAGACACCGAGGGTTTGGGCATAAAAATTAAGAAATTGAAGGTCCGGGGCGCCTGGGTGGGTCAGTCGGTTGAACGTCCGGCTTGGGCTCAGGTCATGATCTCACAGTTCGTGGGTTCGAGCCCCACATCGGGCTGTGTGCTGACAGCTCAGAGCCTGGAGCCTATTTCAAATTCTGTGTCTCCCTCTCTCTCTGCTCCTCCCCTGCTGCTTATGCTCTGTCTCTCTCTGTCTCTCAAAAATAAATAAGCAGTAAAAAAAAATTAAAAAAAAAAAAAAAGAAATTGAAGGTCCAAAG